CCCAACCAAGGTGAATTTGGGTTTGGAACCAGTTCTTTTTTCTGATTCTACTGAATATTTTTGAACTAAATTTATTAAATCACATTAAAGCATAACAATTCGAAAACGGCTCACCGTATGTTGCAGGAAACAATTTTGTTGGTCAACCGCCGCCGTTCAATCCCAACTACCCAATTGGCCCTCAATACCCCACTGGACGCTTCATTTATCCGCCTTCTCGATCGGGTTTTCCTGTCGTGAATAACGGCAGAAATCAGTGGTATATCCCACAGAACGCAGTCCCATACTTGGAGGGATCTGGCCCGATTCCACCTCAAGGCATTTACGGACCCACAACCACCACTCACTCGACCGCTCCACCCTTGATACCGTCAGCGAACCCTCGCAACTATCAAGGTAATTTTGTAATTTTAATAGTTGTCACAGTGCAATCTTACACATGGATTATTTCCAGGTACTTTTCCAACACAACCATCTGTCAACCCTGAACTGGTAACAACTCCTGTTAATTTTCAATCTCCGACGGATCTAATGCCAGGTCATACAACTCGGGGCTGGTACAATCCTACCAGCACGGGTAGTCGTGGGTACGTGGGCGCCAGCACTTCCTCGAACGAGGATACGACAATTACTACCCCCGATATGCCACGTGCTTTTGAATCAGGAAACAATCCTTCTACGAAATTTTCGCCAGCACCAGCATCTTCAGCTTCTGCAACCCCTTCAGTCACGGGAACCACTCGATCATCAGTGGATGAGGGTCTTACGCCAGACGTTTCGCCTGGAGGGCCCGTTCCGCCACCATTATCGACAACGTCAACGTCTTCTCGACCCACATCGTTGTCTTCAGAATCCTCCCGATCTCTAGAATCGGCTACACCGGAATACATTGAAGACATCTACGATCACACGGACATGTTTGTTGAAGAAGCTGTGACTGAGACTGCCCGGCCAACGGACGTCGCTCAGGCCAATACTACTTACATTCCTAGACCTGCTTCTCCTCAGGTGAGACCTCTCTGATTTCCACTGATTTCAGTGGCTCTTTGATTCTGATATTCATTGAAAGAGGTTAGCATGCAGCCACTGCACAAAAACAATAGCCCAAGATACACTATGCATATCGATCTAGGTAATTTACAAATCGTGTTGAGGAGCCCTCGGATTTGACACCCTCCAAAAACTTTACAGTTCGAGGACAACAAAGCCTTCGAATAACCGAGAAAACAATAACATCTTGCCTTTTTATAGGCGCGCTCAAATAGCAAATTGTGGTTACTGTAGGCACTTGCTTGATGAAACGTTTTCAGGCGCTCTTGTCGTCAGGAGGAGGACACTGACATAGTTCAAATCACTTACAGAACTTGGAATCAGGTCTTGGGAGGGGAAGGAATTCCTGCGGAAGACGCGACAACCGTGGTTTCCTTGGTGTCCCCCCTGCTCTCATGGGCTTTGCCCTTGTATCACTTCCTAGCGGTTTTTAAATGTCCCCCTCCAAAAGCGCCCGTTTTCAATGATACGCAAAAAACTCAATGACCACCACGATCGAGAGTAGCGCGTGGTCCCGTCGCGCGGTGGAGGACAAAGGCGAGTAGGCCAAATTTGTGGAGATCAATGGCGAGCTAGCCAATTTGTTAACTAGAGAATGTGACCCGGCAATCAACGTGATATGGGCACCAGTTGACGTGTATTCACTCTCGTAAGATTCATCTCCCGGCCAATCGCTGTAAATTGAGCCGTGCCGAATCCTATGGTGTGACCCGTTAACGATTCCCTGGCATGAAAATTCGCCCTCCTTTGCATCCCTCCTCGCCATCAAGGCCGAATTCGTGCATCGCCTACGCAATTGAACATGAAACGGTCCAAGAACATAGTTCAGTGGGAATCAGCCGTTTATGCCGTAACATTAACAGCAGATATGAATCAATGTCACGCTGATATCGAAAGGCGTTTGCAGCTTTTGAATTTTTATCATCCCGCCTCTCTGCGTCATCTGCGAGCCGCCACGGACTTCTAGTACCAACTCAAAATCGGGGCATTTAGGCATTTGACCTTCTAGAACAAAGATTAGGGGTGCCACTGTGACATTCAGGGGTTTTTCTCCCTGCCATGCGCTCTGGACACGGATAATCTTCTCCTAAGGTGTGAATAAAGGGATAGTTGGGCCGTGCATCGAGTTCACAATCCAGGATTCACTCAAGCGATCGCACGCCTGGTACGGCGCCTCTTGCCATTACATAACCCACATAACATACCCCGTGTTAAGACCCCCTCCAATGCAAAACAACTTCGGCTATATTAAAAGAGCAATAGACTTGCAAACAAGAAATGTTGGATATCGCAACAGATGCAATTTTGCGATCTTTATAAATGATCGTGTAAGAATGATTAGGAATGATCAGTCGACCTTGTGCATCTACCTGGAAAGAACTTTCAAGCTATTAGTGCCACCGTACACATTTTCTAAACCGTAATCTGTCGTCGTTGTGTTGGAACATTGTCGCTGTGGCGCACATTAACAGCTGACAAGGTCGGGTGGGGGAGATTTCGGGGGGGATCACCTACTTTTTCTAAAAATATTGGGCTCTAATGACCTGTTGCGATCTTAGTGTCGTGTAGAACATATAATGCCGAGCGCTTGTAATCTGAAAATTGTTCTATCGAAATTAATCCGGAAAATTAGGGGTGTTCGAGCCGTCAGAAAATGTGGCCTTAGTTTCCACAGTGTTTCTTCATGCTATGTGTATTGTTTGTTAGAGAACAAGAGAGATTCCAAAAGAGGACTGTGAGTTCAATCAATATATAGGGCGCCGGAAAAACGGGGTGGTGGTTTAAGCAGAGATAGGTAGAGGGAGGATTCGGCGCAGAAAATCTATAGCACGTAAATGATAATCGGAATGCATAGCTACAATATCTGTTGAAAGGTAAGAAGCAGGGAAAAGAGTTTACCTTCCAATTTGGCTGATGATTACATTGACTGGTCGTTTTACACGCGAGCGGTGCGGAATCAGATCCTGGGTGTGTGGTGTCCGGCAACCAAGACCTTCCACCGCACACCTAGTTCGGTGAAATTTGGATCAATTTGTTTTCCGAAGCCCACATACAAAAGAGAATCTATCGATACAGGATTTCAACTGCTACCAAGCTTGCGTGGGAGGATAAAAAAAACACTGACCTGTGCATCGGCTGGCCCCCGCAAGTCATTGTATAGGCCACATCGCATTCAAACGCCACTACGAATGTACAAATGGAAGTAGAATGCGTGGCGCCCAAAGGGATTGATCAACGGCAAGCTTTAATGATTGTATTTGTACGTTGACATAAGTAGCGAATAAGTCCATGCAACCCATTCACAGAGCATAGTTAAGTATAAAGCGTACGACATCCTATCCTAGGCATGTGATTGGGCCTACGCGGCTAGTGCGGTGTCGGTTTTGAGAGATTAATCTGCGACGCCAATTCTTCTGATCTGTATTCTACAGTCGAAATTATCTCACTTAGATTTTGAAAATGGCATTGTTGGCAATCTGTGGCCACCCTGTAGACAACAACGCACATGATGAAGTGAAAAGCACAACTAAGCATTCTGCAATGCCTGTTTTCTTTTTGAATGCGCCAGTATGTCCTATTCAACACTCGACGCATAGCGTAAATGCCCAGTTGGCGGCCCCCATAAACAGTATTCAACTCGGAAGGAACCCTACAACTTTTTTTCGATGGACAAAGACCGAGTCTATTTCAATCGACAATGATTTACTTCTTTCTTCTATTTTCACGTTTGTCAACCAATGGCGGGGACGGTCCGGTCATTGCCTATAAGTATGATGACGCCACTTTGCCCGATTGTGCTTGTTGAGCGTAATGAATGGCCAACCCGTATCCAAGCTCATCGTGCTTCGGGCTCCTCTAGGCCGCGTGTATGAAACCATGCACCGTTGATAGTACTTACTCACCGATCTATATGGACGCTGTCGTCATCAGCGCGAAGAACGTGACCGTACCACTAAGGGAGCTTCGCGTCTAGTTCGATTGATTTAATAACTTGATTCCCAATTTAACCCTATATAATGTTAGCGGTGCACATTGCCGTTTTGCGAGAAAACTGACGTTTTATACATGAATAATGGAAGGGTTCAGCATATTCCTCTCTTCAAGATACGCAACGCATTACTTCTAATTACGAATAGCTGCGGACCGCAGTGTTCCCTGCCACTACACACTGCAGCCTCACGACAATTCGGCCCCAGATAAATCAAAAGAGAAATCACGGGCGCTATCGCTAGAATACGTGTGCTTCCTCAAGACAAATGTTTAGAAGGGCAGGAACTCTGTATAGAAAAACAGGTTAGCACACTACACACACCTATTCCTGTCCGTGATTTGATCCACGTCAGTCTAAGGCTTAGGATTCGTTCAAACAAAGAGTGAAAGACTTGCTGTCGGTCAAATCGATTAGTCACCTCACCGGGCCCCCGTATCTTGCTATAACGCTGGAAAAATCTTTGTTTGCGATACCGTGCTACCTGCCACGTAATCAGAAATCCTTCCTAAACACCTGCACTTGTGTCGGTTAGAATCGCAGACACAGGTACGTCCCGCACTTGCCAGGCCATAGAGCGACAAGCGCGGACGTTATGTGAACCTGCACCACTGACATTAATTTTTCCGCGCAAGCCGTCAGAATTCAAGCTACATTAACTCTTGAGTATATTCTAATGGGAAGTCAGACATGACTACAAATATATATTGACCACAGAATATGGTTCTCGGTGCTCGTGTAGCTTGAAGAAGGAGAGCCTTCGATTCACTACAAAATACATCAGTTTACTTAATTTTTCGTTTCCTTTTTCCCCTCATGAGGGTAAAGATTCAAAGGGTAGTATAAGTAAATGCGGAACCTAAGGGATGACATGATATGCATCTTGATCGGTACAATCGAGGTAAAGTTCGTTTTAACTTCCATTGCAGCTGAGCCTCACAAATTTTGCTTTTTCATTTTCATTTTATTTCTTTTTATCAAATATTTACTACTATACCCCTGCGTAGCTTCTATGCACTGGAAAGTACCGATCGTATCCTCGTATCAATCACGTTTTTCCCTATTTACCACCAAAACCCGCCTGAATTACCTGAGGCGGCCGCGCTCGCAAAATCGCGCCGGTCCCACGCGCCCAAAAAGCCAAAACGTGCGTTGTCTTCAACGTGTTAAATATGTTTTATGACTCCCTGTTCACGGTGTCGTTGTACAAGACCGGAACGACAATGGCAGACGCTGAAGCCGGCCACAGACCAACACTGTTGGATCTCGAATGGCTGGCTAGAGGGTCAGCAACACCTTGCTAATTTATATCACGCAATTGATCAATATGTATACGGCTTGCCACATTCAATAATTACCTTCGATCATAGTAGTCGTGACGCTGTTCGACTCGGCTATATTCCCCCTGCTCCAAAGCCAGTATCAGAATTCGAAACTGTGCCGACAGAGTACTATAACACACGATATTATCCCGGCTATCGTCCGGTAAGCAGTGAAGCGACTGAGTTTTTTTGAATTTCTGATACTAACGCTTCTCTAACTAAAGCTGATAGTAGCACCGAAGGCAAGTTTCGGGATAAAATGAATGAGTAGGAGCATTCAATTATGAAGTTGAGGACGGGCAGTGATCTGAAAACGAAAACGAAATCGAGAGAAACGGTCGGTTACATCCTGAACAAAGCCCCTCTCTTCCAGCCGCATTCTACCATGGTATGAAGAAGGGCGGGGTTTGGACGAGTTTCCATGAACGGATAGCTAAAGTTGCCTGAGCACCACTCGTTGACCCTGGGCCAGGAATATACGTACGCCCAATTTCGTGCGCGAATGAACGACTCCATTCCTATAGAGGTTCTCTACCTGCGGTAAAGTGAGAGGAGAAGGACAAAGAAAGTAAAACTAAAGAAGGGACGCCCTCGCTATGAGGCTTTTTGAAATAGGTTCAATGACCCTTCACACAACGAATAGGATGCGCGACATTAAGTCGCTAGTTAATGCTGCCGCTGTTGCGGCCGCGCTCTTCTCGCAGCACCAACGTGGCGAAACGGCTGAAGGCGGGGTTACAGACTAGGGTGTTGTTGCGGATGAAAACAGCTTATCGTTAGAGCGAGTTTGTCGTGCACTTTGAAGCTGCAAAAGGGGCACGACATGAATCTTCCTCCTTCTGTCTACTACGATCAGAGATGGAACAAGTGAGTTCGCCTAAGTCCCGGTCCGTGCCTTCAAAAGTGAAAGGGTTTTCTTCCTGAATGCGGTATTGCAAGATATGGGGCGTCCTCTAGGACAAAGCTCAGGAGGGGACAATGACCTCGGGAAATGAAAATCACTCATGCACCATGGAGTCTCGCCTCCTCTGAGGAATAGTCCCGATTTAACGAATAGGAGATATTATAGGCAGTTTCAGATGCACTTCCACCACAATGCCCCATATATTTTGATAGCGACGACGGATGTTATGAAAAACGTTGTCCGTATGACGTGAAAGTGGTGGTGAGAGAGTGTGGACTGGTCAAGAAAAATTCAAAAGGAAATGGCTCAAAGCCATCAACCTGTAACCCTTCTAACCTCCTTTTCCGCCTTCGGTTAAGGGAGACACCAGACGTGCGCACGCTGAAAAAAGTTCCTGAAATGAAGGGTGCAGATTTGAATTCCACCGGAAGCCAACCGAACCTTTTTTTACATCTCGGCCTCTCACGATTTCTTACGGTGGTACGATAGCTAGAAAGAAGGAGCAATTTAGCACAGATTCTCAGCTCACGGGTTGACATATTCGCTTCACACCCAATTTTTCTCGAAATAACCTCCAAATTTCTAGTTCATAGCAAAGGAATATAATTTTCAGGAAGGTCCCGCTCCAGAGCAAGTGACTACTACTGTGGAACCGTTCCACCTTGAGGTTAGCAATGCTATCTTCTGCTAGAACTTGTTATGAGACTTCCTGCCTCAGTTGTGAAAGTTGCTTGAATTCACGACTAACATGAAACATTAATTTATGACACTTTAGTATTTTATTCTCTTTTATCTACAATATCAATATTTTCAAATATTTAATTTTATTTTGAAAAGAACAATAAAAATATTTACTTCCATTTGAAGACGAAAACAGATTTTCAACGAATTCAGATGCCCACGAAAGGACCACATGTGTTCATGCCACCACAGCACTTCCCTGCTCCATCGTCTCCAACGCTCGCTCCCCGTATTCCCGCCTACGAAACGTCAAGTGTTAGTCCAGAACTCATCACAAAAATACAGTTGTAATCTTTCTGTAGAAAATGTTTTTCTTTCCTAGCAGCCCAGCTATTCTCCCACGGCAAAAACCATACCTACAAGAGCTCCACCTGAGGTGCCTCTCGACATTACCACAGCAGTTTACACCAGCTCAGAGGTATTTCGCACCAAACCATTTTTCAAATTTTTCGCACCTTTTTGTGGACGAAGCATTCGGGTACTTCCAAGAGAACCTGTCACGCTCATCCGTCTTTTTCTTTTTCTGTTGGATCGGTCCATTTCCTACTATATATGATCGGCTGAAGGTGTCTGCTGGTGTGTACGTGGTTGACTGGAAATTCGTAGCGCTAGCGGCGTGGCATAGGCTGTAGGGAGGAGACAGAGATGTGGGTGACAGAACTTGATAATCACTGATAAGAGCTGGTAGTGGAATAAAACGTATGTAGGTGTCGCCAGTTTCCTTCTGTCGCTGATGTAGACTGTCGCCATACAGCATCCATGATTACACACACAGGGGAGGCCAATAAAAAAGACATTTTGACTATGTCGCACTCTCAGCGTTTTTTTCGTCGCAGAGATTGTCGTCGCTGACGGAAGTTCTCAGCAAAATATTCCTCAAATGTCCCTCTATTAGTAGACGCAGGCCCTCCTTCACTGCCCTCACCGTCTTCAGAATATGACGTCATCTGTCACCGTCGTCGAGCTCAGGAGGACCTACAGTAAATGCTTCAGCCTGAAGCTCTTACGCAATTTTTCAATCGATTCATGTTGGATAGTTTCCTAGAACATTAGCTCCAATATGCAAACCCCCTCGGAACCCGCTTTTCAGAAAACGTCGTAATGGTATGGGGTCCGTCCACGACCCCATTGAGCACGACCAGTACACCATGTTTTCAGTGCTAATTTTTCCGATTTCGTCCACCTTGAAGGGCAATATGAAGTTTATTTTATGAAATGGAATGTGCTCTTTCATTTTAACTTGAGACCATTCGGTTCGAATTTAGCAGAGTGTGATTAAATCGGTTTGAATGTGGAGACAAAATGTCTTTTTTTATTGGCCCCCTCTGTATGTGTTACGTGGTGTGTGGGGACATTGTTTATTGATAATAGCCTATTCTCTCCAAGCCACATGAAGGCTGATCTTCAACCCACGTTATGTGTGGTTTGGGTTGTGATCGTGGAAAATAAGTGAAGATGGATCGGCTCCGAACTGCCACTGAGTTCACAAGTTAGAAGTAGTTAGACCACTAGCTTCTCCAGCCGCTTCCATCGAGAAATCTTATCAACGAGTCGTATCATACAGTGTATATTAGGTACCGGATATCTTAGTGTCGTTTTTTCACCGCGAGTTTCGGACCACCAATATTTTAATTCAAAATCCAGTGAGTGAAACGGCATATCCATCGAATGACTCATTAGCCCTTTCCCATTTACCAGTATGAGTGAAAACCTCGTACGATTAAAGTTAGGAATTTTTTGAGACGAAAAAGAGAGGTAGGTCGAATTTGACATCATCTGACAAATCATCCCTCTACCTTGCTAAACAGTTGGGCCTGGACAAAATATGTATACATTTAGTTAGAGTAGGGTCTGCACTGTTTGGTGGAAAATGTATATTATACGAAGTTATTGGAATCTTTTTTGCCACACGTGGGGTCAAAAGCGCACCCTTTTTGAGCACACGTGAGTAGCAGATGAGCACATTTATTAGAATTTCTTGGTCAATCAACTTCGTTAGAGCGTCTGTGCACCATCGATCAGTAACTGCTAGGGTGTCCTACCATTCCAGCACAAGACTGGTGCAGCCCCGTTTTGACTGATTTAGCTAGGACCACCTTTTTGGCGACGGTTGCGGGCATCCCTTCAAAGACTTTACTGTCTTTTAAGAAAACTGTGAAAAACCGATGAGCATTTTAAATGGTAGTATTCCCTCCATCAAATGCAATGCTGGTTTGGTGGGCGGAGGTTACAGCTCTCAGCAAGAATTTTGATGCATTTGGTACACACATGCGAATTTGCACACTGGACCCAGGAATTTTCAGAAGAAAGTATAAAAATTGGGGGAAAGTTAAATTGTGAACCAACAATAGAAGACGAGTGAGAGCAACATATTCGGTCAATTATTAAAGATGAGCAAAAACTGCCCTTCTGGATAAGTTGGATTTTCCCATTAGTAATCCGGCCCGCAAAGACTATCCTGAACTCAGAAAGCCTGGACATCTAAGATGATCCGTTCATAGTAACTAGAGCAGCCCACATGAAATCAGCCATAATGAAGAAACTGCCTCCCTGCCAGCGACGAAATATATCCAAAAAGCACGCCAGGAAAGCATGACTCTAGGAGGAACGGACAGTTTCGGTGCGGCCAGCGTAGTAGGCGTTTTTTAGATCAAACTCCTGCAGCAAGCAACTGCGAAGCGAGGTTTTCATAAAGCTTGTATCAATCTATCACTATTTTCAGAGAGACTAACATCGCCAGCAGTTCACTTATTCTCGCAGTTGATAAACAACGCCAACGCAGCAACTGAAGACGTTTGTCCTGAAGTGACAACTTCTCTAGGCCGTCCTACGACAGAAGCTCCGACGCCCTAACAACCTCCGAGACAAAAACGACATAACTCCCACCGTGGTCCCTCACCCTATAAAACTGTTGCCAACGCGTAAGCGGTGAGCGTTGAGACACATTCCTCTGCGAATCATCGACTCAAAGCTTCGAAGGCTTCAACCCGCTCGAGTATGAACGCCTACAACCACCGTACAGTGTTTCCTATCAAAAGAAAGCCCCATCATCGCCTCAGGTTACTCTTTGCAGTTTTCTCCGAATTCCGACTCAAGGACTAGCTAGTGAACCGGCCAATACCGCTTCACGAGCACCCCTTCGCCGGTGCATGAGGAGACATTTACTTCACCTCGCACATCCCCCACATCATCTGCAACACCTCACACAAACTCCTACACATCGTCTCCACAGTTTCCAGAATCCAGCGACGACTCCATCTAGGGAATCTTTGTCCAGACGTCCCAGCGGATGCTCCTACAATTTATCACCGTCAGGAGAGACACCATCGACTCCCAGAGAATCAACATCGCCTTCTGGGGTAACTCCAACGTCACCGTCTAGAGAATCACCAGTGACACCTTCAAGAGAAACACCGACGTCTTTCGGAGAGACAAGGACGACACCAACAGAATTCCAGACTCCTTTCCAAGGACGAACTCCAGGAACTACAATCACTCCGACGCTCGAAGTCCTCCGAAAGAACATCTAGTGCCGACAGGGTTATGATGGCAGCCATCCTTCCCTTACTGTAGTCCTTAGTTGCTTGACTGAAAATTCAAGAAAAAGGAAGAAATAGCAAAGAACTCATCGGAAAGTGGAGTTGGCATTTTTCACATTGGAGCTTCGGGAGGGTAAACCTCTTTTTCCCCGAACACAGCTTCTGTTTCGCGATAACACCAGCATGCGCGTCGAAGTGCAGGAACAACTCCAGAAGGTGACGACGGCCTCAGCAGCTGAATAATTTTGGCCAATGAACCATGGGCCGGTGGCAATTGTCGGTCAGTTTGTCCATTATTGACAACTATAAGTTACCAACTATCAGCTACCACTCATACGAAAGCACAATGACCAGATTTAGCGTTGGAAGGTTGTTCGTCAGTTGTAGTGTGTGGTCCTTGCACTCGACGTCGGCAGCTGTCTTCGCAGTACGAGAATATATCTCCTTTGTTCTGAATGCAACGTGGTTTGGCTGGAGTTTTTTTTTCGATGTCATTCTGCTGAGTATTGTCTCTAATCAAGTGATGCTTGATTCATAGCGTATTTTCTGAAAGCCGTCGTTAAAGATTGGAAGCTTCGTGCTGATTCGTAAGGACTAGACCTTCCGTTCAATTCACCGAGTAATTGGCAAGTAATTCGACATGCCCGCTCTCCATACATCAATAATAAGAAAGTAGACAAACTCCAATTCAACATAATTAATACATAAAGAAGTCACAAATCGAATTCGCAATAGCCTCCCACTACTTTCCAGTGCACTTCCCCAACGAACCCCTCTGTCACCGTGCCGTCCTGTGGACACTCGATTAGGGTTGCGACTAGTAACTCAGGTTGCATCTCAACGTGGCCGAAGCCGAAGTCGAGGTTTATTCTCGAAATTTCCTTGGTTCCTTGCAATTTCTGAGAAATTGATTGGCCTTTCTCTGACATTCAGATTACATTCTTGAGGGAGGAATAGTAACACGATTTCATCGTAAGCAGTAAGTCAGAAAGGGAATGGTAGTTCTTTCTCAAGTAAAAGGATCGATGCTTTTGTCATAGTAGTCACAGTCTGTGCACGATTGACTAGACAACTCACCGACCCTTGGTTAAAATTGAGCTTTAAAGGAATCTTGCGCGGAAAATTCTTGCACTCTTTCCTAACATGAATATGTCAGTTGTGATCACTGGAAATAGCACACAAAGTTTCACGCATGAAGATTCGGTTTCTGAAGAGAAACAAACGTACAAAAACTACACGTTATGGACCATCGAAGGACCAGGAGGCAGAGCCAGGCGAGGCATGGAAAGAAGACGGCGTTTGGCCGGCTACGTACCAGGCGACGCAATGAGAGAATCGGGTTGAAGCGCGCGATTTCGGAGAGTGGAGACAAATCGATCGATGGAATAGGATGGAGTAGAAGTGTAAGATGTGAATGCAACGAAGCAGAAGGCCAGAAAGAGCTTCTAGTGAATGCACTCCAAGAACCAAGTTTGAGCATCCCCGTCGCCAGCATTCGTGAAAGACGTCCGTGGGCAATTCGAACGCGTAGCAGCCTTTTCGAGTTTTCGAATTTCTAATCAAAACGAAAGCAATACTTCAGTTCTTTTCACTATTATCGTGGATAATGAGTCTCAAGCCAGTGATTTATGGCTGAAATAGAATCATGATTTTTCCGCGCAAGATTCCTTTAAAGATTTGTAGGAGCCTTTTTCATGCACACAGCACATCAAGTAAGTATCGATTACTGAAAAAACAAACCATAAATCGCTT